GGTTTGAAAGTTCCAAACTATATGAACTATTGAATTTAACCCAATATTGTACAAATATTCGGTTAGGTATACTCTCCGGAAAGTGAGATTATTATAACAGTTCATGCATAATTTTTATATTTTTACAGCTTACTTGCCAACTTATCAAGTTTATGAAGCAAATGAATTAAATTGTTGTCGTTTTTACTTACAATTAAATACATAACAAGAAATTGTTTTAATAGTACATGCATAACAACATTCTGTATAAATCAATTAGGATTTCTTGTAGATACAAAATAAACTTAAAATTATTAAAAAATGTTTTATTTCCTTATCGAAACCATTTACTAAGTATATCTTGGCAAATGTCAAAATTTGAAAAATACTATAATATAATAAAATAATAAATAAGAAATTGTCTGTATTTATTTGTGGCATTATAAATGTTATAATTTGGATATTTTGCCATAGTTTGAAGAAAAAAAAACTGGAAAAATAAACCCTTGTACCGATAGGGACAGTCAAGTGTCAATACTGAAAACTTTTGCCTAATAGTGAGATGCCAGAGACATACATCTACATGTATAAGTCTGGTTACGCACTGGAAAAACAAATTTTATGAAACCTCTAGTTTCGTTATCAAAGCAGAAGCGAATTAGAAAAGTACTGAATATTAGTTTTTCGCTACATTTTCTGTTTAACTAAATAATCTGTTCTCAAAAGTATTGACACTTGACTATTCCTATTTGTATAAGGGTTTACTTTTAAAATAATATAATATAGAGGATATAAGTGAGAAGTCGTTTCCATACGATAGATGGCGCTGTAATCAGTTCACAAAGTATAAAGTGTTGCCTACTCATTAGGAGCTAAGTAGTAGTAAGCTTCCAAAACGTTACGTGGCGCTGTTTCGCGGTTTAGTGGCAATATTAGGGACATTTCAGTCTACGTTAGTACTATATTTTCTATGGTTCTTAACAAACTGAAGGTTAACCTATATTCCTCATTAGATTATAATCGTTAACTTAAATAAATATGAAGAGTGATATATGAGATAAGATGAGAAAATAAAGACATAATCTACAATTAGTAATTAGTTAATTTGAGTAAATAGGTACATACTTCTAAAGACTGTCTAGAAAGAAATTGGTTCATAAACATAAATATATCTGATTCATACAGCAATATTTGAAGAATAAATGCGACATAGGCTTTTACAATTATTAAAAAGAAATTTCAAACAGACAAAAAAGCTTTCGTTCTTGTGATATAGGAATATATGTGTTGGACAGTTTAAACATTAAAAATATGTTCTTTTTCTGAAAAGTAAGAAAATACTTACCTCTTCTGGTTCAATTAATTTGAATTCCATTCCTCTTCCAGTCCAGGCTATGCATCCGGCGCTGGCATCTGGTGCATCTAGCAATGCCACTAAGAACTGCCATAATTGCAGAGAACCCCTTCGCCCCGAATTCTGAATGTTATTTGTTCTGCTGTCTGTGGTTTCTCTAGATTTATCATCTATTTTTTCCGATGAATCTATAAACAAATTTGTAAAAAATATTTAGTTTAGTACCTACATATTTATTTACTTAAAAATATATTACGATTCAGTCTATTATTCCTAAGAAAATTATCACTATGTCGGTGTTCCATAGGAAATATATGTATATACATAATTTAATGGCAGAGTGGAGTAATGCAAACAAGATGAGAATGCAATGACCAATAAAAAAGTCGTGGGTCAAAGTTTGTAGATATACGTACGGGTGATTTTTAAATTTTCAGTAAAACTGATTTTGTTTATAGTACTGGAACAATTTACAGGAATTAATTTAATTTTAGTATAACTATATGCCATTGGTAGCTAATATACTTTTGTATTCAGAATTCCAGAATTTCAGTACCGTATTGGAGATAAACCCATTTCTTTGTGTATATTTTTTACTGTTTTATAGTGAAACTGCTTAAACTAGTAAGAAAATATATGTATCAACTGTTTTGTCACGATTTTCCCTTCCTCAGTTTTTCAATATTGTTTTAGCCAATTAGAATCAATATTTAATACTTCCGTTCAGTATTAATAGTACCACGACTTCCTGTCGTATTTTTATAAACTTAACAGGATCTAATAAGACATTTTTAATCATTTGTCATTAGAAGAGTTTCCCCTCTATCTTTATACAGAACAGTTGAAAAATAATGGTTTACATATAACTAGATAGAATTATGATTACGTTGTTATATAATCATCTCACACGCCATATTGAATCCTCCGTCTTGAATTTCGAAAGTGTAATGCCGCATTTGGATTCAACTATCTTAAAATTGTTTATAGCAGAAACGTGCGAGGAGTCGTTCTCTTCGGCCTGAGGGCTGAAGAATAAGTGTTACAGTAATCGTAATCTGAATTCTTCATGATTATTTTTTATCAAAACATTGCATTAAGTGATAAAATTTACATCCATATATTCTTTTAGATATTTTGTGTGCTATTCGACAAAAATTATTTTCATTTCTAAATTCCCATATTGGATCCTTCATTTGGAATTTTGCAATTCTTACTTCAGACTCGTAATCAGCGACACCGAGAACCTGAAATTGGGAATTTACGTATTTGTAATTTGTTTCTTTTCTCTTTTTACCTTCACTTGATGCTAGTTTAAATCTCTAGGTAAGTGCGACCAAAAAATCAAATGTATGATTTTGTTACTGTAAAACAAAAATGTGCAGGGATTATGATAAGTGAATGAATATGGTCCCAATAAAATATAGGATCTTTTTAATTCTGTAATGTAGGTATTTAAATACAAGTAAAATATATGAATGAAAGAATGGGAAACGAATGGGAAAACGAAAATGTTAGCGCTGGATTAATAGCGTTCATTACTGACTTTAGTAGGTATCGAAAAGCTGATCAAAAAAGCGTTTTATAAGAACTACATTGCAAATCAAAAGTTGAGGAAAGTGTGGTACAGAAAGTGAATGGTTTTTGTCACTGGTTTATGTAGTTTCAATATGGTATACGAAATAGTAGAAAAAATACACATGATGAACTTACTAGAATTTTGTACTAACTCCGTTAGTTTTCAGTGGTAAGTATATCATCCAGTATTTCTACAAACTCTAACATTACGATATGTAGGTACAGTTCATTGGTGTAACTATAAAAATAATATACATATTCTGAGGTTAAAATAGAACGATTGGGATAAACATGTCTTAATAAAATATTATTCCTTTTTATTCTACAACATTAGAAAAATTAGTTAATGCTTCTATTTATACCCAACATATAATGAAATGAATATCACTTGTATTTGGATTTTTGTTTGTTTTTACTTCTAATTGAAATTCTACAAGTTTTTATTATTTTTTTGTCTAAATAATATTTGACGAACAAGAAAGTTTAAGTCTTATTTAGAGAATTTGTAGCTAGTCTTAAAATCTCTTCTCTATCAACGGAAATTTTCAAATTTATTTTCTTCATCAAAATTTTATCAAAATACTTTGATTTATTTTAAGTATGACATTGCAGACATCCGTATATTGAAATAACGTATACATCTGAAAGGCATATTTGATCAGTCGCCCTATTTTGATTTTCCGAATCTTCCATTGTGAAATGCTTGTGTAACACAAATTCGGTACAGAATTTCAAAAATATTTTTAAAAAATCTTTAACTTACTGCTATTGATTAATCCTACAGATGTGTGCCTCCAGTGTGGTTTTGAATTTGGGGATAGTTTATTTCTTTCATATTGTACCCTGAGATTACCTAAAATAAAAAATGAATACTTTAATTGTCCACTAAATTAAATCTCTCAATTTTTATTAAATTTTTTTAATTACTTTTTCTGTCCTTATTCTGTCAGTCCTTATTACATGAATCATTAATAAAAATCAAAGCAATATAAAGTTACCATGTACAAGTTAATCCAGTTCATTTTGATGGTGTAATTAATTCTAATATAAAAGATAATTTGATACCTTTTGACAACCTATACGAAGTTAGCTTAGTTGTCATACATTAAAATACATATTCATATTCATACAACGGGTCGGTATAATTTAGGAATGATTGTTGTTTAAAGTTCAGATGTACATGTGGCGGAAAGTATTGTGATTGTTTGCTGACGGAAGAACATTAAGTGTTACAATTTTATGAATTTACAAATTTAACAAAAAAAGTATTGGCAGTGTAAATGCGTCCTAATGTTCGCTTATGGCGCCCTCTAAAAGATACAACGAAATCGTCGATAAATTCGAATTTTTCATCACAAAAAAATACCCGGATACGAAATTCCATGAAATTAGTTTGAAGTACCTAGTCGAAAGATATTAAAGAAAATGTTATTTACTTTTTCAACTTTGACATCCGGTAGATCCGTTATTATCAATTTTTGGACTAAGGCAAGTTTAGTTAAATGAACTTATTTTGAGTCGTACTATGTCTGGTGGAGCGTTGTACCTTTAAAAACACCCTGTATAAAAACAGAGATTGTAATCATGTTTTACAACGTTGCTTGTTGACTACAATTGAATAGGTACTGTTTATGTTTTATTTCCTAGGTATACTTCGTTTTTGCAACTAGTCAATGTATCTATTCAGATAATTTATACATAATAATTTACGGTACATATTTTTCAGTACTTCAAGACAATTTATAGAAAAATAGGAGATTCGTAAATATTTACAAAAACATTTAAAAAAATTTCAACAATAATGTAGTACGTAGCAAAATCTGCAATACGTAGAAATTTTTTTTGGAAAATTGTGAAATTTTATTAATATTTATTTAACACAATCACAAATTATAGGTATCCTATTACAAAATAGAGAGTAAATATTAAAATTGTGGTAGAGTTAACAAAAACATTTTAAATACAATTTATTGGTAATCTGATACAAATTGCAGTTAGTCGTGTTTTCTTTATAAATTCTAGTGAACAGGCCTACGGTTGTATAAATTTTTGATATAATCTTTTTGCTGTGTACTAAATTGGTAGAGTACGACCGTCTATTTCGCAGAAAAAATTGAGTTTTAAAGCACTGTTTTGTCTATTTGATATACGAGTAGTAGATAAAGGCAAGTTTTGCTAATACAAAGTCTAACTATAGACGGGTAATTTCAGTGACAACACATGGTGAAGCTATTATCGTAGTATAATTATATCGGAAATAAGCAGGCATGTCTTCCCCACAAAATTTGCTATTATTTTCTATATTTTACCTTTATAGGTTTGGTGAGATGACTTACATAATTTTTAAAGTGGTCGATCTCCAGCTACACAGGGTTACAACTTTTTAATTGTCCAATCGTTTTTTCAATCTCACGGCTTTGTTATTGCAAATTTCGTAATCGGACCACCGTCATTTTGTAGCTATTTTTATTACAAACAAAATCATGTCCTAAGCATTTTTTCGTACAAAGACATCCCGTTGAGTTATTTAAAGAAAACTACTAAAAAATTTTTTTTTCACTATTAAATTGTTAATAACTTTTTTCCCTGATAAAATTCTTTGTCAGCAAATTAGCCTGTTATTGTACTCATCATTTAAAGTAGGCCTGTGTAGTTATTTCCGGGTTATCAAGGTTTGACACAGGCCGAACCTCTACAAACTGGACTAATATAATATATTCAGTGTTACAAATTATATTAATAACCGCTCATAATTAAAAATATTGTAATGATTATTTTCTCTCAAGTTTTTAAATAAATATAAAATAATAAGATAAAGCGTTTTCATCCTACTTTTAGTTTTCTGTCTTGAAAAAATAATTATATTATTTATATATCATAATTAATAATAATAATTTACCACTTGATTCTATTGCCAAAAATAAGAATATTTTTTCATATAAACATGAGTCGACAAATGCTTTCTAAGGGAGCTACATCGCCCTAAATGGAGCCTCAAAAATTCATTTTTTTAAATATTTCGGAAATGGCTTGAAGGAAAATTATGAATTTTGACGTCGTAAACGCTCATTAAAAGTCGAAATAGATAATCATAAAATTTTTCAAAAATTTTAGTCAGGGGGGGTCTCAATTGGGGGGTCGTCGGCTAAAGTTTGCCCCAATTCTTTTGCTTGTCGAAATATTCAAATTCAGATGTCAACCCTCATTTCCTCTACAAAGAAGGTACTCTTTATTTCTTTCGATAAAATACTCCATTTCCGAGAAAAACGGTACATGTACATACCATTATAAATTTTGTCATTATAGTTACATTGTAATAAACAACGTGAAAAGTTCTTACAAAAGTTTGTTATGGGGGGGAAGTCTCGGGTAAAATTTGACCCAAATTTTTTACATGTTGCTATTTTCAAATTTAGATCTGATAGATCTGCTATGTGCTTTTCTAAGCATTTAAATCCGTTTTTCTTGGAAATGGAGCATTTTATCGAAAGAAATAAAGAGTACCTTTTGTAGAAGAAATTAAGGTCTATCATGTTGGCCTCTGAATTTGAAAATTTCGACAAGCAAAAAAATTGGGGCAAATTTTAGCCGCCCGCTCCCCCCAATTGACACCCCCCTGAGCAAAATTTTTTAAAAAATTTATAATGATCTATTTCGACTTTTAATGAGCGTTCATGGTGTCCAAATTCATAATTTTCCTTCAACCCATTTAGGAAATATTAAAAAAAAAAATAATTTTTTGAGGCCCTAATTATGGGGGCGTAGCTCCCTTATGAAGCATTTCTCGACCTATGTTTATATGAAAAAGATTCTTATTTTTGGCAATAGAATCAAGTGGTAAATTATTGGACACTAATTATTTATAATTTATATCGATCTGGATAAAAAGGCATTTAAATAATTTAATATGTGGGATATTTGTCCCTGAGTTGGCCCTGAAAAATTTTATTTTATTTATATTTTGTTTTTAGAAGGAAATTTAAAACTGGCGTTACATAAACTATTCATTAGCCCAGTTTCAATATAAGAAGATACGTATCAAAAAACATACCATTAAATAGAAACGAGGAAAATTTGTATTTATCAATATGTCAATGGAACACTATAAATTATATCTATAAACTTCGTTTTAGTAAAGTTTTATAGCGAAATTGAGGGTAACCAAACTAACAAAACCGACCAGAAAAAGTGAATTTGTACGAACGCGGTTTGTATATAATTCTGCAAATGTTCAGTTCAGTTGAATATTAATAATTACAGCATTGATTTTGGTTTACGATTGATAACAATATAAATGCATATTTCAGTGTCTACTTGATAGCTTTTTATGTAATAATATACATTTTCAAGATAATAGAATCAATTTCAGTATACACAATATTTATTGTGCAAATAAAAACATTTTTAATTTGATATTCAAGTCATGCCTGCGCACAATTTTCCTCATCGATATGGAAAACGTGATGAAAATATCATGCGGTTCTTATACAAAATCAAAATTCATTCTTTCGCTATTAAAATCTACATAGAACGTCTCCCGTGGATAAACATATTATTTGCCGCCGTGCGCAGACGATAATCAGCATTTTTGGGCGAAGCCGCGGGGAGTTAAAACTTGATTAAGTCTCTAACTAACCCTCATCGAAAATATTAGTGGATAAGGTTTCTATTGAATATAATACCGTTTGCGGAGTAGTAATATTTATATTTATTTAAAAACAAAACGTAAAATATATCGTCTCCTTTGGAAAAAAAAATTTCAAGAAATAACGTAAAAATTAATTATACAGGGTTGTTCAATATACCAGGTGATTCAGTTCGGTATTCGCGGCTCCGTATCTTTTTTATTTTAACAATTAGCTATAACAAACCCTATATATTTTTAAATCTCTAACTCTGCTCAAACTCTATCAAATGACATTATTAGATCGTCTCCATGGTAAAATATGTCAAAATTGCGTTAGACTATATAAGAAAGTCTATAGCTTCATTAGAAATATTGTTAGAAAAACAGCAAACAAAAATGTATCCAGTTTCAGTAGCTTTATTTTGAAAAATGATAGCCAGCTGAGGAAACAAGTTATTATATATTTTTTTAAATTAAAACAATACTTATTTACAATGTTCAAAATGACCTCCATTCTCTTCCAAACACAGAATACCTCTGTTTATCACTTCTTCTCTACAAACACGTTCTAGTGTTTCTCTATTTAATCTCCGACATTCTACTTTTATTTTGTTTTTAAGGCCATCAATATCATTTAATGCCGAAGAGTAAATTTTTTCTTTTAGGTAAGGCCAAAGAAAGAAATCTATAGAAGTGAGATCCGGAGGCCATTTAACATCTTCGCTAAGATTACTGATCTTTCTAAAAATTCAGGCATTGTGAGGTGGTGCTCTATCTTGCTGTAAAAATCATATTGCGCCTAATAGGTATGTAATGTAACATCTTCCATTAAAAAATTTAAATATATTTGTCCTGTAAGTGTTCCATTATAGAACCTTAGTCCTACAATTTGTCCGTTAATTCCACAAACATTTTGGAAATGGGTTTCTCTAAGCCAATGGGGATTATTTTGGGACCAATAATGGCAATTATGGCGGTTGATTATTCCATTATTGTGGAATTGGGATTCATCTGACAACATAATGAGTTGTAAGATATTTATTTCTTGAGTAACTGCTAACCGTGCTAAGAAGTGCATCGAATGTTTTTCATCTCTTGCCCTTCTGGGTTTAAAAATTCTTTTTTTCTCTAGAAAACTTCCATCTGCCGCCAAATTGCTGGCCAACTTTCCGAACATTTTATCTGATACAAGTTGTCTCTGCGGAAAACGATGTTGGTATAAATGCCTGGCAGCTTTAGGCTGTTCTTTCGGCCCTCTCTATAAATTAAAATCATACCTAGCTTTTCTTGGTTACTGTAAGTATTCATGTTATACCTAATTAGTTGTAGATAGAATAGGTAGGAACAAAATGTCAATTATTTTGACAAACTGTTATTTAGAAACGTCAAAATTCAGTTGTTTCCGCAGCTGGCTATCATTTTTCAGAATAAGGCTACTGAAAGTAGGGTTCATCTTTTTTTGCTATTTTTCTAGCAATATTTGTAATGAAACTATAGACTTCCTAATATAGCTGAACGCAGAAAAAAAAATATCTTCCAGAATTGATAAAAAAATATATAGTGTGCCATTTGAACAAAAACAGTTGACTATAGCAATTTTGACATATGTTACCATGGAGAAGATCTAATAATGTCATTTGATAGAGTTTGAGCGGCGATTTGAAAATATATAGGGTTTGTTATAGCAATTTGTTAAAATAAAAGAGAAACAGGGTTGCAAATGAAAATTGAATCACCCGGTATACTGATGAAACTTTAGGAACAAGTAAGTTATCAAAAATTAAAAATTATTTTGAGATTTAAAGTTTCTCTGAAAAATATACTTTTTCTCGAACATTTTATGAACGCAAAATATTGTAGAAATTTTATAAAATGATTTTGACTGCGGATTACAAATATATTTTCAGTTTTTAGTTTCACCAGTATCTTATAGCGACAAGTGCCTTTATTAAAAACATTTGATACGTCACTGATAAAACAACAAAATCTTAAATTTTTTCAAAATCTACGCAATTTACCACAAAGAGATGCTCTTCCGATTTGTTGTGTTTTGTAAATCTGACTGTTTCTGAGAAAAATATTTATTAAAATGTTTTTATGATGCACAGCATTTAATAGAAAACATAGTTATGTATCATATTAAATAACCCAATATCTGTTTATGAACCTGTTGAAAGTAGTTCTCAAATTCAACGAGAAATTGGAAAATTTCAATACAGTGTGTTCCATACAAAATAAATAAATAAATAAATAAATAAATAAATAAATAAATAAATAAATAAATAAAGTAGCTAATCTAGAGCCTAGCCTAGAATAACCTAGTGCATAGAACTCCTGGTTGATCCTTATTTATGATGAAGTGACCGGCAGACTGGTTGGATACTTTCTCGTGTATTTGTACAAGGTGGTACTTAAGCACCTTCTGATAGTAAACTAGTTTTCGAGTTATAGGGTGTAAAGTTTTTGCTAAATGTCCATCGCAGTATTTCACATGTTTGACGAAATTTATGAAAATTAGAGTAATAAATGTACCAAAATAATCACTAAGTTTGTATATAGTTTTTTCTTTATTTTAACGAACAGAATACGCTCCCAAAGCAGCGGCCTACATTTTTATGGTAAATTTATTTTAGGCTACAAAAGATAAAAACTCGAAAATGCTACTCCTTCGAAACATATAGTTGTATATGTATACTGAATCTCGAAAATAATGCTGTTTAAGACAACCTATTATAGCAGGTACCTACAAAATTCAAAAAAATGTTTTAAGGAAAAAATTCGGCCTTTGAAGTTTATGTTTCAAAACTATTTTTAAAAGATAGCCTACGTTTTCAGTCCGACTCAACTTATGATTTTTAAATAAAATGCAATTTAAAATTCTATAGTTGAATTCACTCCAAATTTCTGAATTTCTCAATAAAGGATTTGCTTAGTCTGTGAAGTATTTCAAACAACATGATCATGTTTATATTAAAATTATAATGAACTGAATACATTGTATTAAAGAGAATAGTTAAATTTTTTTTAAACCTAGTTGTAAACAATGTAAAAGGACAATATTTGAAAAATTAATATCCCCATATTCTCTAGTTTGGTTGTCTGAGTCAAGAAATGTTTATGGTATTTTAAGACAGTGAAATTTTGAATTCCTATTTAATTTTCGAACATCTTTTCTTAAAAACACTTTCATTTGTAGTATCTTTTATAAAATGAGCGTTTACAAGTTTCCACGACATAATTATTTTTTCGAAATTGTATAGCAGTTTAATATTAATCAAACAGAAGTGAATAAGAGCGTGATATTCCAAACTTAAAATGTTTGGTTTTCGGAATACCTATACTGAATGTAAATAAATTGTAGCTTCTCCTTATTTCTCCTATTTGAACTAACGACTATTCCATCAAGGTATATTGCTTGTTAAGGACTTTATTCATCAATTCAATGGACCAAATTTATGGTGATATTGAAATTTGAATATAATTTTCATACACAAATCAAATCAGTTTGTTGGGACTTATTTAATTTTCTGCTCAAAAACAGTCATTACCCGTTACAGCTCCAATGTCAGTAACTGACACTCACCATTAATGAAGTTCATAATACAACCTAGACTGATCACCGTATGCATAGTATATGTAGTCTAATGGACTAAAGGGTGCATGTAATAGCTGTATTAATATTGATTAGCCTCAATTAAAATCTTCACCCCGTGTTACAATTCGCCAGAGGGTTTCATATCGTACCCATGTTAACCAGTCGCCGTCGAAAAGTTTGCTGCTAAACAAGCCGATTAATATTAACCCCTTCGTTGTTGAATTACTAACCGTTTATTTTCTCTTCGATGTTTACATTTTGTGTGTTGTTTTATGTATGTAGCTAAATTTTGTAGTGGTGTATGTTTTGTGGCACAAGTACACCCTCTGCTCCTTATCCCCTCTTCTGAAAGTGATCGGTGTGTTCATAATCTCAAGTCGTGAACTTGCTGACATTTATATCGTTTGGAAATTTAATTTTTGCTATAATTCATCGCAGGGTACCTAAACAGTGTTATAATCTAGAAATATAATTGTTCTGGAACAAGCTTCATTCGTTGCATTTGTAAACGAAATTTCAATACTGTATTTTACGATCAAAAGAGGTATTTTAAGACGAACAGATTGATTATTTGAAGAAAAATTATATGAGCTCCTTTGAGAGAATCAATTAATGCATTTGCAGTATTACATGCAGTGGCGTGCATTATTTAGTCCTTCACGATGTTACACAATAGACAAAGAAGAAATTTGATAATCACGAAAACTTCAAATCTTCAAACTGAATCAAATACGTGGTTCTTTGCAAGCTGCGAGATAGTTGAGGAAAAGCATGTAAATAATAGTACGAGATCTGTTCAGAAAACAACCGAAATTTTTTAATTACATTCACATTTCTGGAGGTTATCATAAATGATAAATTGGGCGTGCAATTCTGTAGCTAGGTATATCTATTTTTCTTGTCTTGTAATTCTGTTTTTTTCTGCCTTTGAGGCATTATAGATAAGTCTAAAATTTTATTTATGTTGTATCCTGTACATAAGGTCACTATTTTCAATATTTCTATAAATATACAACTTTTAACAAAAATATGTATAGCTTACCTTCGTATTCCCTATCACCTGGTTCCTGTTTTATTGGTAAATGGTTTCCTAGTGCATGATGTGGTGGAACACTCGGTACATTAGATGACGGTAGAGATCCTTCTATTGACCGTATTGGGGGTGGTGTTGTTCTGTTGTACAAGGGAGGTGAATAAAAGCAACCAGCGTGTTGATAAGAACTGGAGTAGATTCCTTCAAAATGGTCACTTGATGGATATGTTGATGGGTACACGGATGACTTACTTATTGTTTGTAGAACTTCTGACATATTCGTTTCAGATTTTAAATCTATAAATCATAATAAATACACTAGATAATATAATACTACTACTACTATTACTAGTTATACTAATACATGGTGTTCATAAACTGTGAGTAAAAAAACTGTGGAAAATATTAATATTATTGAAATGAAAACAAGAGGATTTTTCGAAATAATGATATTTAAAATTAAGTTGTTAATAAAAGTTGAAATCCACTGTAAAAGCAATTTATTTTTAACAATACATCATATCTAAACATATTTAATAAAAGAAAACATTTATGTATGTCGTTTAGTTCTAGATTATATGTAAAAATTAAAAACAGTTTCTACGTTACACACTATAATTCTTATAAATAAAGATTTCGTTCCTAATTTGATACGTCTGAAAGAAAAATGGCTCTGGGGGCTCAGCTCTTCACAGCAAACTCAGTCTGGGTACTGGAGCACACACAGTGGCTTCTATCTGTGGTCTCCTACTATAACTGTTATGATTTTTAGACTACTACTCGTGAACTGGTTATTCTATAAAAAAAAAACTCGAAAAACTATTATTTTATTGGAAATTAATAATACTATCTTCAACATCAAATAATTAATAATAATTTTTTTAATGTTATTGATTATTTCTTGTGTCAAGTTTGAAGTTTCTAATGGCTTTTATGTAATTGAATAAAAATAGTTTTCACGCCCTTTAGTTGAAGGGACCTAGGGCCCTAAGAAATCATTCTCTATTTTTCTTTTTTTAGGGGCATCTTTGCCGCATTGTAAATGAAACCATTAAAAAATTATAAATAAACCCATAAGTATCACGCATAGGTTGTTTCTTAACAAACTTATTTTTGTTTATTATTTGCCAGTTCTACAATGAGAAAAACTTTTCACGATATAAATAATGGGTGTCCCATAATTCACGCAAGAAGTGCTGTTAACGAAAAAAAAAAGACATCGTGACAGCTGACAGTTCAGGGTTATTAAAAATGGAGCAATATTTTTAAAATAATGAAGGTTTGGTAGAACTGTAGAATGCGCGATTTTCGTACCTTCGGAATAGTGATTTAACTTCATCAACTATGAAGTGATTAATTAAAAAAATCAGAGAGACTGGATTAGTTAGTGATTTTAACATTCTGACCACTCTTCAATAAGTTGTTCAAAACAAAACATCGAAGCAATTTGTGAGAGTGTTCCTAGAATCCCGGAACATAAATTCGGTATTATGGTGAAGAATTGGACATTTTGAGAAGTTCTTTTGCATCTTCATGCTTACAAAGTTCAATTGTTACAAGAACTGAAGCCTACTGGTCACGTAGAGCGAAGTGAGTCTGTTGAGTGGATTATGGAACAAATGGATGGTATTAAAACAAAATCATTTTCAGCGATGAAGTTTATTTTCATCTTGATGGCTTCAGTTAATCGACAAAATTGACGCATTTGAGGTTCAGAAAATCCAGGAGTGATTGTTGAGAAATAAACGCATCTACAATCTTTCACCGTCTGGTGCGGATTTTGGGCTGGAGGCATCATCAGACCGACCATTCTTCTTTGAAAATACGACTGGCTGGCAATAACAGTTAATGCTCGATATCGTGACATGATAAACTAGTTCATTTTTCTGCCAAAATTGCAAGATATGGGTTTATACGACATGTGGTTTCAACAAGACGGTGCCATATGCCATACAGCCGGAGAAACAATTAATTTACTGCATGAGTCATTTCCTGGTAATGTAATTTCCAATTTTGGTAAACAGAATTTAACGCCGTTCGATTTTTTCTTTGAAGCATAAGGTTTATACCAACAAGCCCATAACCACCACGCCTTGAAGGAGCGAATTGAATGCCGTATTAACAACAGTGCGTACGTGCCAGCAAAGCCGTGGAGGCCATTTATCCGATATGCTATTCCCTATAGTGCATACTTTATGAATCAATAAAGAAATTACAATTTTTAATTAAAAACCTGTATTCTCTATTAAAATTACTTCTTACGTGAACTTTGAGACAACCTTTAGTAATGTACAAGTATTTATCTACTTCCCATTGTGGGATTCCAAAATCATATTAAAAAATAAGTTAATTAAAAGCTCACTTATTGTTTCTTTTTACAGTGTGGCAAAATATCACCCGTAGGCAAAGAAAAACGCTTAAGAAATGCCACAAATAAATACTTTCAGTATACATATAAATCATACGTATAAAGGAATTTATTTTGCACGTGCGACGTATGAAATATAATCATATTTCGCAGATATCGAAGGAGTTTTCTTTAATACCGTATTTTCAAATTTAAAAATTGGAATTAATAATTCGGTACGGAGCATGAAGGTATACGCTATATTTATGTATGTTATTGAGTGCAGTAGCGGTTAGGCTGACGGCAGTAATCGGGGTACATGCTGTGCTTAGAGATCAACCTGTCACCAGTTCTTTCAGACAGGCAAACATCCATTTAGTTTTGTATATTCTCAACTTAAAGCGCGGCAGGGTACGCTCTCTTTATGATGTCATATTCGCTGTTGCTTACCTTCAGGATTATTACAATCGGATCACGTGGGATACATTATCCCATTTGTAAGGCAAATACGCGTTGAGTTATACATTATAAAATAAAATGGTTTTGTAAATTGTAGGGAAAAATTCAAATATGATTAAAGTATTACACCTTTCAGGATTATTTAATGTTATATTGTCATGTATCATATATTTCATTTTAACCTCAATTTTTATATGTATACAGCTTTAGGTTTTAACTGTTCGATGACTAACTCGAAACTAACTTGATTATTATTTCTTTGAGTTGTTTTGCCGTGGCTTATGTATCTTGTCGCCGCCAATTACAGACTTAGGATACGAATATAAAGAAGCAGCACATATAGCACATCACTACAAGATAAGATAATTAGTGTAACTACACAGACCATTACGGAATGTCTCAGAGGACTATCATTGTCTGAAGAATGGTTCCGTTAGTAGCGGCCTTACAATCAGTAGTAATAACCGAAACCAACATCAGGGTGGATCCAGAAGTTCTGATAGTAGGCTAACCTTACGGAATCTAGGTGAGAACAACCAAGGTCCATCAAGGATTCCTAGCAAAGGCTAATGAAGTGCCATGTAAGCCTGTAACTGGCAGTAACCAGTTACATAAATATCACCATGGTCCGTGAAAGCCTTAAGCCATAACCTGATTATTATCTAAAGTTATTTATTTGTGACTTAATTTAGTTTTGTTAGTTTGTGCAAAGCTCCGTAATTAAGTGAGATATGTGTTGAGCAAATGGATTTATTATCATTTATTTGTTCATTAATATAATATATTTCTTCTAGGTGACATCAGTATTGATCAATTCTGTGAGAATTATTTTCATGTTATATATCCTCTTCTCATTTTATTTAGCTCGTCACTGACTCTGAACGAATTACAAAGTCCTTTGATTGAGAAAAATTAATTTTGATATTATGAACGTAGGTAAATTTTTGAGATAAAATAATTTTCCGTCTATAATCATTTGTAATGACATACAGAAATTAAAAAAAAATATGGGTATAAATGATTTTTGAGTAGATTATAGTAGATACGTAATTGTGTGATGAATGCAATCAGATGAGAGAAAATTGCATATTTATATTTTCATAAAAAAACTCGTCATACTCTTGGAAATCGGTAAGAATTTAAATCTAAATATAGTCATATTGTACATATCCCTTGCTTGTCTACAGAAATCTAATGAGGCAAATAAATATTTTTCTGCAAAGTCTAGCTCTAGAGGTATTTGTCAATGTAATGGAAAGTGGTACAATTGCGATAGGTTTAATGATGTCAGTTTTTATTAGGAATAATAGAACAGATTAGCAGTCTAAACATTCAACTGAAGTCAAATGCCAATGGATGTAAAAATATAAATGCTGTTATAACTATCTTTGTCTGCTATAACTAAATATGTGACGCATATAATAAATTGCTGATTAGAACCTGGCTATTTTCTTGATATTTGAAATTTATCTATCATTAGAGGTATTGCGCAAAACAATGATTCAGAAAAGTCTGATTTAAGACCAACTACTACTACAGAGCCTTCATAAATGATTACAAGCCAAATGAATGAATGAATTTTGTTTGGAACTATAATTTTGTTTCCTTCATGTTGGCCATTAAATTTCGGTAAAATTTCAAATTATTAAAATACTAATATCAAGGTTGCATTAAAACAAAATGTTCTGTTTTAACGGCTGTGATTGGTGTAATTTTTCACGAGATACTTTTTAACCAATCAGCGATTGCATTATCTCGAGCGTAGACGGTTGTCATTGATTGTCATTGGGGAATTTTCGTTATCAGTACCAATCGTGCAATGTTGGGTTGCTTAAGCTCGACGATCATGTGCATGTAAACATTTATGAAGGCTTTGTATAATACTTATCGAAAGTATTAAAGGTTGTCCATAGTCAAAGTCAGTATAATTAAGCAATTAAACATAAAATTATTCTTTTTTGACTATCCTGTTTCCGCAAGGATCACAGCTCTACGCACTACATCAGTTTTAATAAATGTTAATAATAATACTGTACTATGATATTTAGATATTAAAAATGTTATAGCCTTATAGTTTTGCTTGACTTTTCCAAATCATCTGATATTTCCCTTCGATAGTATATCATTGTCTTTTATGTGCTAAACTATATTATTTGGTTTTAATGAAAGTTCTGTACATTTCTGGTAACTACCTGCCTAATTGTTGTCATTTAATGTTGAATTATCAGATATTTCTCCCTATATTTTCTGGAATTCCCCAGGGATGCGTTTTAGGGTCGATATTTTTCAATCTATCAGATACAGTAAAATGCAGTGTTATGCTGACGGAAGTCAATTATTATTTTACTCTTTTAAACCAAAAAAATATAAAATCTGCGAAGTTACAGAGGCCACTATGGAACTTCTCCCGGAACTGAGGAGCGATTTCGTATGCAATGAATGATGCAACCAACAAGAGGAACAGAAATTGGTTTGACATTAGTGTCAATGCGGTTCTAGGAGCTCTGATAGAATATGCCGTCCCCACAGAGCCTAGTCTAAGAACAACAAGCGCAGATCAAAGATTCCTAACTAAGTTCATTCTTAAATCTTTAACTGGCGGGACTAGATACATAGATCACGGCATTTCAACCCGAAAAATCATGGTACCTAAAGGTTAAGTCACGTGAACTGCAATTTTGCTTGGAGTAGTAATAAAATTTCCTTCACGTTGGCAATAAAATTTCGTGAAAACTGAAAATTATTAAAAAAAGAAAACAAAAGTTTACATTAAAATTTAACATTCTATTTAACCGGCTGGTGATTGGTGTAAATTTTTACGAAATTTTATTCAACCAATCCGCGATGGCATTATTTCGAGTGTAGACGTAACGGTTTGTCATTGTTTATTGTAAAAGATTTTTTCGTTGACAGTCAGCTGTGCAATGTTGGTTGTCTAAGACCGGCGGTTACGTGACTTGTAATTATTTATACAGGCTCAGTATTTATAGCTAACGAACATCCATCTTCACAGAGTATTTTGAAATTTCTCATTTCCTTAAAAGATAAATTTTTAATAATGAATTCGTAAAAAATATACTAAGTGTCTCAATAAAACATTTTAGACAAGCACAGTACATTTGGGACGTTATAAATTTGCTTAGGTTAAAAAAACTGTCATTAGAACATATTTTTGATTAACATGTTTGATCTACTTATACAAAACTTTTTGATTAGGAAAAGAGAAAACCATAGAATTAATAAATTAATAAATAAGTAAAATATGCTGAGCTATCGGACTGAAGGGCGTTTTAAATAACGTCGGTAGTACAGATTTCTAAATCCGATTATGGTGGCAATGATTTCGTTCAAATTTTATCGAACAATAACTACGAAAGCGAAACCGTGCCGCCTTTTCAAATGTAAACATTGCAGTAATAAAGGGGAGTAAAAAATCTGATAATTTTTAAATCTTAAGTAAACAGGGTAACTTATTGACGTTTAAAGATAGATAGGCAATTCGCAATTTGATTAAAAGATATGCCTTTCAGCTATTTGAAACACCCACAGCTTTTTTAATCAGTAAATTGGATAAAAAATTAATTTTTTGAATTTATACCTGTGGTTTTGCAAATATTTTGTAATAATGAACTCATATATGAACTCATATTAACTTTTGTTTTCATTTTTATTGTATAAAATGTTCTAAAATTAAAAGTTTAGTGGAGTTGAAATAAAGGTTTTAATCATTACTCAAGAAACGTTAAAAGATATAGATTTCACGTAAAATTTGAACAAAAACGAACCAGTGGTGTCGAAATTAGGGAGGCTTAGAGAAAGAAACCTAGCTTATCTTTAATAGTTTCTTGCGTAACTAAACATTTGAAAGCCCATTCGGATCCCAGAAAACATTTTATCTGCATATAACAGAACATTGGTTAGAAGATTATCACAAATATCATTAATGCATATATGAATAACACCATTCATCCATGATACTGGACTTTCAATGATTTAATAGATAGGTAGGATTTGAAAAATTTAAAAAACTTTATCGGCATTTCAATATTTAGTAACTTACTAAGAAGAATTTCATGATCCAACCCGTTCACAAATATCTAATGCATATGCAACAAAATCAGTAATATTAACAAGATTAAGTTTATTTGCTATAAATTCATGTTGATAAATTGAAATTTGAAATATAAGATGAAAATATAAAATGTTATGTAGAAAGACTTGCCAAAATTACACAAAACTGCAATGAGCTTGCAGTTTTCAATAAAACCTTTGTTCCTTTCTTGAAATTAGAGCACATCTTGGTTTTAGACCGAATATAAGGAAAAGTTTGAAATGCTTTTTATACAAAGTCAAGGGAGATGTCAACAGTATTGTACAACTTCTTAGCAAAAAAGAAGTTCTATAGTTTTAAAAAATATATTAACGTACTAAAAGAATATATCGGTAAATCTAAGACTTATAATACTTAGACAGTACTTTCTTTTAACAAATTAATTTTTTATATTTATACAGGTTTTTTAAACCAACGTACTTACCATTATTTGACTGACTCTGGAAATCTGAATCTGGTACATATTGTTCGCTATCATCCGTTTCACAGCTGTTACCTGTAAAAATGTGAATTGAAAGTACTATATCGATCTGTAAAACTACGAGGGGTACTAGAAGAAATATCTACCTAAATTTGTGAACTTGGAACATCGCAGTGTAATCAAATTTTTTACAAAGGAATAGAATAGTCCTAAAAATAAAATATTCATGAACGAATAATTGACGGATATGGGGACAAAGGTTTATCATATTTTAAAGAAATAATATTTTGGTCAAGACAGTTTCTGTGGGTTCATAAATCTATTGATGATATTTAAGAAATGCAAGTCGCTTCATATGCAACTAATAGTGATGTTTGTAGGAAAGTAGAAATAGTGGTTCTCGAAATTGTCGTTTGAAAATGTATACTATCGTCACAGAGTGTAGGTAATCTGTGCTATCGTTAAGCATTAATCGAGCGTTTTGACAAGTCTCTGTGATAATCGAGGCATGAATAAAGTTTTAGGCAAAATTAAAATTCTAAAATTGTTGGTTCCTGTACAAAAACTGCTTAGGCAGCAAATTTCTCAAAATTATTGAAAATCGTTGGATGCAGACCCTAGTATTTCCATTAAGATAGTGACTCTGGAATCAAAAAAAAGAAATTTATTTTTTTTTAATCTATGTGAATATCTTGTTTTGCGAGCCCTAACAACTAAATGTTCGGACGGCACATTATTTATTGAAAATTTGAAGTAATTTTTAAGGAAAGTTTTCAAGATTCGCCTCACCTCAACTTGTAATTAATGGTTGTCACAAATTCAGTTCTAAAGAAAGCTGACTGACCTATATTTATTAAAAAAGACAGTTAATCCTAAAGAAAATTAAATAAAAACTAAATGTTTTTAATTGATTTCCCTCGCTCATATTGTGATATATTATTTCACGCACTTTTTTGGGGAGTGCTCAGCCACATGTGATAGATTTGTGTATTGTTGTTGCGAAAACGTCATAAACGTTGATAGATACACGAATCATAACAATGGACATTTTTTATTTTCAGCACCTACTTGAATTTTGAGACAAAACAGTTGTTAGCAAATTACGTAAAACAATATTACTGTGAAGCGTTTATACAGTGTCCCCCTAAAGTCGTGCACAAATTCATTATTAGGTAAACAAACGAAATTATTAAAAATTCCCTAAACAGGTCGATTTTTGAATTTAATTTACAATTTTTTCAAATAATAATTTAGTATGCAGGGTGACCTATGTTCGAGTAATGACGTCATCACAATTTTTTTTAAATGGAACACCCCACTTTTTTTTTACAATTTTCGGATTGCCCTAACTGAGCTGATTCCAAAAATATACCACAAGCTGCTTCTAATTGTTACAGGGAGGACAACAATACCCAAATTATTTACAAATACTAAATTTATTTACAAATAAATAAACGTACTAAAAATTGAATCAAATCACCACATATCATTTTAAAATGTCATTATTTTTTGCTATAATTTCTTTGATGCTTTTTTAATTTTATCTGCCTGATAGAACGTGCTCGTGTATTTCTTGCAGGCAATAATTTTTAAATAGTTCATTGGACAAATCTAGATCTTCTTCATTTGGAAATAGAACACTCAAGGAAGGAACTAAATGGAACTGAAGAAATTCCAAATATCTTGCACCATCTAAATTTCCTTCAAAGAAATACGGCCCCAAAATTCGATTACCAACAATTCCGGCCCACATATTGACCTTTTGGGGATGCTGAGTGTGTGCTTCCATCATCCAATGTGGATTGCGATCTGACCAGTACCGACAATTCTGTTTATTGACGGTGCCATTCAAATAAAAAGACGCCTCGTCGGAAAAAAATTATGCGTTTCACAAAATCCGGATTTGCCTGACATTTTTCCATCATCATTTCGCAAAATTCTGTGCGTCTGTCGAAATCATCGTCACATAATTTTTGTACTAAGTGGTCTTTGTAGGGATGATACTTGTTTTTGTGAAGAAGTCTACTCAATGTACTTTTACTCTTTCCTAAATTATCTGCTACGACTCTCAGACTGGATTGCGGGTTTTCATGAATGGTCAAAAGGGCTTGTAACTGCACTTCTTCATCTACAGTCGGTCGGCCAGATCTGGGCATATTTTTAACATGACCATGATTTCGAAACTTTGCTTCAGTTCGGCTAACCGTGGATCGATTTATTGGTGGACGATTGGGATGAATTTCATTAAACAAAACACAAACTTCCTCATGAGTTCGAATTCTATCACCATATCCGATCATCATAAGAATTTCAATCCGTTCGGTTTCACTTAGAATCATGTTTTTTAATTAATTCAAAAATACTCAATATTTTAAGGAAGAATCATTCAAAATGGATTTACTTGTACAATCTTAACAAACTATTTAAAAATGATTGCCTGCAAGAAATACACGAGCACGTTCTATCAGGCAGATAAAATTAAAAAAGCATCAAAGAAATTATAGCAAAAAATAATGACATTTTAAAATGATATGTGGTGATTTGATTGAAATTAAATTCAAAAATCGACCTGTTTCGGGAATTTTTAATAATTTCTTTTGTTTACCTAATAATGAATTTGTGCACGACTTTAGGGGGACACTGTAGATAGATAAGAACAAATTTAATTATTTGCAAAATAATCATAGATATGTTATCTAATATGGTTGTAAAATGAAAACCCTAATATATATGTGACATTATTTTTAACTATTATTGCCAAAATTATCATTCTTTCGCAAATTTAGTTGTTAGGGTTCGTATTTCATATTAATTACATATTATGATCTTTTGTTAAAGTTTTTTTTTATGTAGTGTACAAAATTATTGTGTTCATTTTATTTATAATTTAAGGAAGAGTACGACAATATTTCTCATTCTTTTAGCGAATTTAATTGACTAAAAATGGATAACCGAAGACTTTATCACTTTGTGAATGTTATTATGTATTAACAGAATAATATAACATAATAACATATTGCTCCTGAATCAGAGATCAGATTTACAAAATTCGTTTTTAAAAATTTAATCAATTGCCTATGTACTTTATTACCTGAGATTAGGCAGAAAATCAGTGAATAGATCTTTTACAGAAAAAAGAACAGGATATAGCCGAAAAAAAGAAGGTTAAAACATGTTTGGGTACTCAGGTTATAAAGTAAACAAAAATATTACAAAATGAATTTTACAATTCTGACCGCGAATTCGTAAACAGTAAGAGTTCGGGACTCGGTCGGATGATCATAACCGTCGCGTCGGCCTTTCGCTACAGCACATCGTACGAAACCGGTAAAACGGCAGTTATTGGCTTCGCGTTTGCTTCGTGTTTTAATATTCTAATAATGTCGAAAGCGTCAAGAGGTAAAAAACGACCTTTCGCCGATAAAGTACGAAAATGTATTTTTTTTATTATACCTACCTGTTTATTTATTTGTTTACGATGAACACGCCTATGACAAATCCCGAAGTCAAGTGATCAGCGACCCCGAAAACCCCCGTATACCAAATTTGGAGCTAATTTGTATTTTTTTTTTAAATTTGGTCGGCCATCTTGGATCCGCTATCTTGAATTTTGCAAAATTGACCTCGGATCTGCGATCAGTGACCCCGAAAACCCCCGTATACCAAATTTGTCGCGAATCTGTTATTTTTTGAAAATTCGTGATATCTGACCTTAATTGATCCGTTTTTTTGAGGTTAGAAAAAGAACCATCAATTCTGACCGCGGATTTACGGTCGGCGGGATCTTAACCAAATAAATGAACATTTGAATATAGAAAAATTTTAATTTTTCCTAGCACTTTTTCGTGGATTATTCATATTTTTGACCAGTTTTTTGAGGTTAGGAAATCCTGTGACGTTATAGGTCGCTGCTGACATCAGATTCGCGATCAGGAGGTAAAAATACTACGGTTAATATTATGTCGCATGAAAAGTACAGACAACTCGATAAAACTCCGCACACAGTCTTCAGCTGCAAAACTTATGGTCATCATCTTTCGAGGCCAACTATTGCTGAATAAATAATAGAGGCTAGAGAATATAAAAAATAAGAAAAATGTTTCCAATTTTTTTATTAAATCGAAGATTAATAATCGGTAATTTTCTCGGAGAAGAGGTCAGCCTTATTAATTTGATGATATAAACTTTTTTGAAGTTAGTTTTGTTATGATGTAAGTGGTACACCACAATGTAAAATTTCAATCTGCATAAAAGTGGTATCTTTGTGGAAGTCGCTGAAAATGCATTGTTTTCGAAAAAAAACGCAATTGACTCTCCCAAAGGTACCCTTCTTCTATTTCTTATACGGGGCGTCCTCCTTGGACGGAGATAAACCAGTTTAGATCAAGTTAATTTACAACAGTTTTGCTACATTAAAATGTTATAGGCACTCAATCATTTTCATTTCATTTAAACTAATTATAACATAACTTTAAGGAAGCAACAATTAAGAGAAAGAAGCAAGTTTATATATTAAGGTAACTTGATCCAGATCGATTTATTTTAGAAGAAGTTGATTTACTGTAGGGTAGTCAGTTTTTATAAAATTTTCTTTTCTTTTTGTAAAATGGAATATTTCATTATAATATAAAGGTTATGTACTAAAAAACCTAACCTCAGAAGAGCTGTGTAATAAAATGTCACTAGGTAAGGTCGCGACATCTAGCAGATGGTCAAGACTAATAATGTACCTAGAAAACTTACCTGTACAAAATTTCAATTTAGTACATTGTTTTTTGAAAAAGATATGGTTAAAATTTGATTTAAAAAAACATATTTGACACACTTTATCTCAAAAACAGGAAACGATAGGCCATTTGCCCATAGAAACATTTTACTCATTAATGTTCTATCAATTAATGAATTTATGGTACCTTTTCAAAACAAAAAATTTAATTCGGACTGTACATTTCGAAAAATTTTAAGATGCCCTGGTCCTTAGTGATGTAGCGAATTTTTGACAATAAAATAGACATTAGTCTTCAAGTTAACCAGAAATGAATCTTAAAACTATGTATATGTATAAGTGAAATTTTATTTGGGGTTGCCTGAGATGTAAATTGGGGTTCATTTTAAGCAGATCGTGACCGAAATTTTGGCTTTCCATAAATTTTTTTCTTTCTCCTTAAAATTATAATTTATTTTAACGCAGGTAGTAATCCACTCCGAATTTTTTTTATTTACTTTCAAAATACGTACACACAATAGTCTCGCAGGAATACGGTCCATCATTTAACGTTATGCAACATTGATGAGCAACAACAGGTGAAATGCTTTGTTCGGCAAGCCCGACAGGCCATTTGCTGTCTGGTGCCTTTCTGTTACAATCCGCGAGAGGGAACGAGACAAATGCTAGCGCCCGCTCTCGCGAGGTATTTTACAAAGCGCAGAGGGTTAAACGCTCGCATTTGGGGTATTAATTATGGACAAGTTGGTATTACTTACCTTCTTGATGCCATGGCTCTCTCCAGTCCGTTGGGAATGACGCTCCTGAAATAGATGAGAACTTAGCCGTTTCGATAAACAATTTTTTATCTCGGTTTAATAAAGAATTTAAGTACCTACTACAAACAAAGAAATGTAAGCGGTAGACTTTTTGGATAGTCTGGAAATATTGCTGGCATTGAATGATTAAATTCTTGTTCATAAATGCAGTAGATGAAGGTGATTTTGATACAATTATATTATCCTCGTATATGGTTCTACAATTAAAAGGGGTAGAAAAACGTGTATTCTTTTTTCTCGAAGTTACTATTATACAGGGCGGTTCACAAATGGTGACCAAAAATGAACTCTTGTATTCTTTAGTGACTTTTAAGGGGAGTCTTTTCTATAAAGTTTTTATCTAGGACACTTCGTTAAAAAGATACAGGGTGTTAAACTTTAAAAAATATTTTTAATTTTTTTAAATAAATTAAAAACTAGTAGGTAAAATAATCTAAAATTGGTCACATGTATTTATGCAAACATTTTCCAAAATTTGAGAGATTTTCATAAAATTTACATGCTCCAGTGGCGGAGATACAGTGTATCGGTAACATTTTTTTCTAAATAAAATAGTACGCCACTGCTTTACGGTAATAATCATGATATTTTCGGATTTGTCTTTCAATTTCCTACAAATTACTACTCTCTTATGTTTTTCGAGAAAAGCCCGATTTTCGAGTAAAACTTAAAAAACCAACTGAAAACACATTTACTTAAATGACAAGAGAAGCACTAATCAATCGGTTATTTATTCGAATAAATAAATGAATAACATCAGTCATTATTTTAATGATTTTATTTGAGTAAATGCTCAAAAATACCTCCATTTCCACGGACACAGGTCCGACATCTTTTTAGTAACGAAAATGTAATTTGTTCGAAACTTATTGTTGCTTCAATCTGATGAAAAGCATTATTTATTCTTTCTTCTAACTGCTCAGAATGTCAAAGTTGTTATCGCAGCCCACTACGTAATTTTAAAAAGCATTATATTCGAATATAGAAGTGTGTTCTCAGTTTGTTTTTTAAGTTTTACTCGAAAATAGGGTCTATTTCGAAAAACATAAAAGCATAATAATTTGTAGAAAATTGAAAGAGAAATCCGAAAATATCATGGTTGTTACCGCAAAGCAGTGGCGTACTATTTTATTTAGAAGAATGTGCCACCGATACCCGTTATCTCCGCCACTGGAGCATGTAAATTTTAAGAAAAGCCCTCAGATTTTCAACAATGTTTACATAAATGCATGTACCCAATTTCAAATTATTTCGCTTAACTAGTTTTTAAATAATTAAAAAAAATTAAAAATAATATTTGAAGTTTAATACCCCGTATCTTTTTAATGAAGCGTCCTAGATAAAAACTTTATAGGAAAGACTCCCCTTAAAATGCACCAAAGAATACGAGGTTTCATTTTAGGTCACCTTTTTGAATCACCCTGTATTCTAGTTTAGCTTCCCCAGAAACCAACTTCAAATGAAATATATTTGAAAGTACAAATATGTACGAGTATATTATGTTCTTTACTCTTGCGTAACTGTTAAAATAGAAACTATAAACACTATAGTAGGATCGTATTCGATGCAAAGTAGAGCAAAAAGTTGTCGGTCTTTTATCAAAGGAAAATCGTGTCATCATTTTTAGGAGGCGTAAGATAAANCTAACCTCAGAAGAGCTGTGTAATAAAATGTCACTAGGTAAGGTCGCGACATCTAGCAGATGGTCAAGACTAATAATGTACCTAGAAAACTTACCTGTACAAAATTTCAATTTAGTACATTGTTTTTTGAAAAAGATATGGTTAAAATTTGATTTAAAAAAAACATATTTGACACACTTTATCTCAAAAACAGGAAACGATAGGCCATTTGCCCATAGAAACATTTTACTCATTAATGTTCTATCAATTAATGAATTTATGGTACCTTTTCAAAACAAAAAATTTAATTCGGACTGTACATTTCGAAAAATTTTAAGATGCCCTGGTCCTTAGTGATGTAGCGAATTTTTGACAATAAAATAGACATTAGTCTTCAAGTTAACCAGAAATGAATCTTAAAACTATGTATATGTATAAGTGAAATTTTATTTGGGGTTGCCTGAGATGTAAATTGGGGTTCATTTTAAGCAGATCGTGACCGAAATTTTGGCTTTCCATAAATTTTTTTCTTTCTCCTTAAAATTATAATTTATTTTAACGCAGGTAGTAATCCACTCCGAATTTTTTTTATTTACTTTCAAAATACGTACACACAATAGTCTCGCAGGAATACGGTCCATCATTTAACGTTATGCAACATTGATGAGCAACAACAGGTGAAATGCTTTGTTCGGCAAGCCCGACAGGCCATTTGCTGTCTGGTGCCTTTCTGTTACAATCCGCGAGAGGGAACGAGACAAATGCTAGCGCCCGCTCTCGCGAGGTATTTTACAAAGCGCAGAGGGTTAAACGCTCGCATTTGGGGTATTAATTATGGACAAGTTGGTATTACTTACCTTCTTGATGCCATGGCTCTCTCCAGTCCGTTGGGAATGACGCTCCTGAAATAGATGAGAACTTAGCCGTTTCGATAAACAATTTTTTATCTCGGTTTAATAAAGAATTTAAGTACCTACTACAAACAAAGAAATGTAAGCGGTAGACTTTTTGGATAGTCTGGAAATATTGCTGGCATTGAATGATTAAATTCTTGTTCATAAATGCAGTAGATGAAGGTGATTTTGATACAATTATATTATCCTCGTATATGGTTCTACAATTAAAAGGGGTAGAAAAACGTGTATTCTTTTTTCTCGAAGTTACTATTATACAGGGCGGTTCACAAATGGTGACCAAAAATGAACTCTTGTATTCTTTAGTGACTTTTAAGGGGAGTCTTTTCTATAAAGTTTTTATCTAGGACACTTCGTTAAAAAGATACAGGGTGTTAAACTTTAAAAAATATTTTTAATTTTTTTAAATAAATTAAAAACTAGTAGGTAAAATAATCTAAAATTGGTCACATGTATTTATGCAAACATTTTCCAAAATTTGAGAGATTTTCATAAAATTTACATGCTCCAGTGGCGGAGATACAGGGTATCGGTAGCAAACAATCATGATATTTTCGGATTTGTCTTTCAATTTCCTACAAATTACTAAGCTCTTATGTTTTTCGAGAAAAGCCCGATTTTCGAGTAAAACTTAAAAAACCAACTGAAAACACATTTACTTAAATGACAAGAGAAGCACTAATCAATCGGTTATTTATTCGAATAAATAAATGAATAACATCAGTCATTATTTTAATGATTTTATTTGAGTAAATGCTCAAAAATACCTCCATTTCCACGGACACAGGTCCGACATCTTTTTAGTAACGAAAATGTAATTTGTTCGAAACTTATTGTTGCTTCAATCTGATGAAAAGCATTATTTATTCTTTCTTCTAACTGCTCAGAATGTCAAAGTTGTTATCGCAGCCCACTACGTAATTTTAAAAAGCATTATATTCGAATATAGAAGTGTGTTCTCAGTTTGTTTTTTAAGTTTTACTCGAAAATAGGGTCTATTTCGAAAAACATAAAAGCATAATAATTTGTAGAAAATTGAAAGAGAAATCCGAAAATATCATGGTTGTTACCGCAAAGCAGTGGCGTACTATTTTATTTAGAAGAATGTGCCACCGATACCCGTTATCTCCGCCACTGGAGCATGTAAATTTTAAGAAAAGCCCTCAGATTTTCAACAATGTTTACATAAATGCATGTACCCAATTTCAAATTATTTCGCTTAACTAGTTTTTAAATAATTAAAAAAAATTAAAAATAATATTTGAAGTTTAATACCCCGTATCTTTTTAATGAAGCGTCCTAGATAAAAACTTTATAGGAAAGACTCCCCTTAAAATGCACCAAAGAATACGAGGTTTCATTTTAGGTCACCTTTTTGAATCACCCTGTATTCTAGTTTAGCTTCCCCAGAAACCAACTTTAAATGAAATATATTTGAAAGTACAAATATGTACGAGTATATTATGTTCTTTACTCTTGCGTAACTGTTAATATAGAAACTATAGACACTAGTTTTCCTTTTACTTTTTAATTTTTTTATTTAATTTAAAAAAAAAAATAGCGAGGACGTTTATCATTATCCCTAAGATTTTCACATTTTATTCAAATTTGTAGGAGGGATTTAGAGGAATGCTAATTTAAACTTTATTGTTAACTTTTGTAGAATAAAAATGCGAAATATGTGTTATATTTTATAAAAGTCCATTCTTTTTTATTTTTAGAAGCAAACACCTAGGATTAGAATCGAATTCAGCTATATTTGTTCCACTTTACCCTACTTGTAGGCCAAATTATTTTATTTATGTTACTCACACAATATAGGTACTTAAGCGTTTTATTGGTAAATAGCATTGCAATGACACTTAAAATATTTAATTTTACTGAATTTGTAACAATATACCAACCGTAATATTAAGAGAGTGGGAAAAATAAACATTAATTTCAGTTTTGCCCAACATAGCATATCCTTATAAATGTTTAAAAATTATACCTAGTAAATATTAAGTAGTTTTCTTGGGTGATAAATAAATCGAATCAGATTAATTTACTTTAGTACAATTTTTCCTTCCTTAATAAATTAGGGAACCTCAAAGATTTTTTATTTATTTTTTTTTAAGATAATGTCACTTTTTAAGATACTTTATAATGAAACTTGATGTGGTAGTGTCTGTGGGGTGACTGAATGTGAACATAAGTTTATTTTTTGCGTAGAACATATAACCACCTAAGATCACCTTAAAAATCCTTCCTCTATTGCCATATCTTTTGCTGCTAATTAAAAAAAAATCTCGTTTACATATTTATAGGAATTTATTTTATTAATTTCACATAGAAGTTTGATTAAACATTTTAAATACACCCTGCGCGATAAAAAATATTATCAATATCTAAATGTTTCAACCGCAATTAGAAAATAAAAGTGTTTCAATTTAAAGTCCTTAAGTTGGTTCCATATTTATAAGATGTAACTGTGAATTTTACATTAAACTCGTTTGAATATGAAATTAAAGAAAAACTTCTCGTTATTAATTTTATTAATTTGAAATTTTGTCTGTGGTTCTAAAATTTATACTTTTCTAAACTTGTTATTTTGTCAAATAATATACATTCTTTAAACAAATTCCTAGAACGCTTTTTAAAAACTACAGAACATTGGTAGGGTAAACATATAAAGGTCTTGGACAAGAAGAAAACCGCACGTATTTTAAATAAGGAGAGAGACATTTTATATCCCGAACCGCAGTACCCGCGATATAGCACGTGAAATGATATTTAAAATACGTGTGGGGTATATGTTACGAGAGCAGTCCTTATCTTAGTGCAACACATTTATTGACTGCAAATAATATTTATCGTCGCTTAGTAGTATGCTTATTAGCTCGTGGAAATCATTTCGAGTAATTTTTATAGAATAATCTATCAACGATTTCTGTTAAGTATGTTATTTATATCCATCATCTTTTAATTAAATTTCGTTCGGATGGAGAACAATTTCCAACCTAAAGCCATAAAACATTTTAAAGTAAACATTTCAACTACAAAAAACGCCTTTGAAATTGCAACATGTACTCTACACAACAGGGGCGGTTTCAAATCAAATGATTTGACAATATATTCCTGGAAATATTTTAGACTAAAGATTGCTTCATGAAAATTGTTTATTTTCACGTCCTCTATTACTCCTTTGAAGGAACGCACTTATTCCAGAAACGATTTATATATATGAAATGCAAATTTTGTTGAATAATAAAAACAACTCAGTTCAAAAAAATTTATGTAAATCATAAATATGTGGCGATCCTTGAATATTTTTACATAATGCTACAGTTTCACACAATTGTATGATTTTTTGGTAGAGCAAATTTCAATAAAAAGAAAATTATTGGATTAGGTACCCTGTGTACTTTTAGAAACATGAAATTAGTGTTACGGCAGGGGAAAAAGATACGCTTGTAATTGACTTACCAGTGGGAGGTGTAGTCTTGTAATGCTCCTGATGTTGCTGATAGCAAGACGTACTGAATGGGGTGCCGAACAAACAACCCTGAAATCAAATTTTATCATGTATAGGGTATTCCAAACGTATTGACCTCAATGTAAGAAAATAGAAAAAAAATTAAAATTAAAAATTATGTTATTTATATATTAGGGCCTATTTATATTTTTCTGAATAAATTTTTGTTTCCTTCGACCATAGCTGGCCAAGGCCTAGCGTAAAAGGGGGTTTTTTGCTTTTTCCAAAATTGTATTGTGCGATATTTGAGAAAGTAAAAAGTCTGCATCCACAAACCTAAAATAGTCAGACATACATTGTCATCTCATATCACACAGGGTAATAGTTCCTTTTGAACAAATTAGTCCAAGCATTCTGTCACGGATTAATGTTAAATTTGCAGAAATTATCACCTGGACAAAAAAAATATGACCGTATAGAAAATTAAATTTTAAATTGATTTTCTTGTTCTTTAAACTCGATCCAATATGGCGATCATGGTTAAAAAAAATCACAAAGTTGAAAAAAACAGTTTTTCTAAAATAACTAAAACATTATAGCACGGATTGAAAATTTTAAATGAGAAAGTTGTAGGTTTTAAAAGGATCTATCGACTGATTTTTTGAAAGTATCGATTGCTTTGTTACTTTTCGAGATATATCGAAAAAACCGTTAAAAATCTTCTCTTTTCTCTTCTTCTATAACTCGTTTACATTTACGTGCCCATATTTGCTATTTACTGCAAGCATAGCCCGCGGCAAGCCAAAAAAGAACATTTTTGAAAAATTAAAAAATATTAATTATTTTTCGAGATATATCGATTTTTAGAAAAAAAGGCGCTCTCGAAAATTGGCTGATTTACTCAAAAGGAACTATTACCTTGTGTGACATGAGATGACTCATATGACATTGGATGACCAAAACTTACCTGCAATGACTTCACGATGCGTGACAGGATGAGACCGTTAATGCTGCTTATTAGATTATAAAACAATGTGAGGCGTTCAGTAACAGAAAGAAAAGTACTTTGAACTTTGACGTTTTATGACGCGTAATTACATGTCATGACGTCATATGACATATATACCTATCGGGAGTATGATAATGAACTACAGTTAATTGCTAACCTCGCTGAACACCTACAATTTCAAAAAAGGCACAGATTTGACCCATATGAACACATCACCAGTGCATAGTTCCAACTTCAGCCAGCTGTATCTTAAAATTCTGAGGTCACAGGAGTTTCTGCCCATTGAGACATTTGATCAGAAGGACAAAATACATAACACATAACATATCAAAATTCCAACCAATTTGACGGAAGTCCATTTTCCATAAAGAAATTGCGTGGTCCTTTGGCTCAAATAGAAATTTTCTCTTTCTCGAGTTTTTTTTTCATTAAAATGTTTGTTTTTTAGTAAAAAATTGTACAAAGTTTGCTATTTTTACGAAATTATTTACAAAACCTGTTTGGAAATGGTGACTTTCATTACAATCTCCTATTCTGCGACAGTTTGATTGGCGAACACGTTCAAGACTGTCAGTAAAATTGTCCTACAAGATGGGATATTATGATTCCGTTATTTTTCTAAATTTAAATGGAGTCGTATAAATCAATTATTCAATATATCTCCAGCAAAAGAAGAAATTGGGAGGGTTTAAATCTAGAGATTGTGGAGGTAGTGCTCTTCCTTTACGTACCAAATGATTTGGATATGGCAACATCCAAATACTACCGAGTATCCAAACTGAAAACGATTGGAGCATCGTCGAGTATAAATAGCTCTTCTTGTCAACAAAATAGGGACAAACAAATCCTATTGGTAAGCCCCCTTCAAGAAATCTGTGATACATTTTTCCAGTGAACTTTCCCACAAAATTAGAAATCTAATCAGAAAGTCTTCCATTCCTACTATTATGGGAAAATGAGGTTGATAACGGTTTTCTGATGTCGTAGGTACGCAGGTTTTCATAGGTGAATGTTAAGGCCTTTAGACTGCTAAGGTTTATTATGGAGTCCCTAGAGAAGAAGAAGCCTGATAGGTAACGGGTGTTTACCCAAAAAATCGGGGATTGGATCTATTCTTTCTTGAATCTATCGACACAGAGCCACTCTACGTGTAAGATCATAAAGTACAACTGATTGCACCAATTGAATATGATAAGCGAATATTTTTTTAAGAACGCTTCAAACTGTTGATGAAAACGACTAAACATAATATGATGGCGATTATACACGAAGTGGATATATCAATATGGTATATACACTTTCTGGTATTGGTTTATCATTTTAATGACCGTAAGTTGTATACGAAAACACTTGTTCTATTAAATGACTTGAGATATGCACAGTGACAATTGTTGGCACTGTTGGCAGCAATATATTAAGTTGTTTTAAATATGAATTTCAAATTTTTAACTTCGTAAGAAGTTACAATGAAAAATACCATTAAGGATTGCAATTTTAAACCCCTTTCGAGGGTTGCAGATTTCTCACGTGAGAAAATAAAAATAAAAACTAATTTTTAACTTCTAACCATTTAAAGAGGTGTAACTTTGATAGCAAACGTTATAAATAAGATTTTTTACCAAGGAATCTCTGCTTAAAGTTATTTGCAATATAAAACACCCTTATACTCACAAATCTAGTTTAAGCGATCACATGTTAAAAAATATTTTAAAATTCATGGTCTGTTTAAGTTCCAAAGGTCGCCAAATAAATTATTCATTTACTTACATCTCGTTGGCTGAAAGTCTGTGGACTTTAGCAAATCGGCCATTTTTTAGGGACTACGCCAATACTTGACAAACTATACGATTTGTGTATGTACCTACTTATCTAAACACAATAAGAATTTGTTTTTCCCAATTCGATACAATGGCACTAGATTCTGTTTAGTAGTGTATTTGCTTTTAGTCATGGTCAACTTCAACGTTATTTCCTAATTCAGAAAAAAGAAATGGATATACCTTACTGTTTGCTATAGGTATAACGAATTATATGTCTTTTTGAAGGGGGGAAGCTTTCTTTATAACTAGACTATGGTCAATTAACAGTTTTTCCTAACTGTATCCAACTGTAGCATCTACAGCAAGATTTTGACTTTTTGATTGTAACTGCAAAACTAAAAAATATATGGAAACCTATTTTGGCGTAAAGATTTCTCTCCAAAAAGTGGGCAAGTTGGAGAAAATCGGCTTTTTTATCTTTAATAATAATCGAGTTATCCTAGCATGACATTGAAATGGAATCCATTGGTAGTAATAAGTGTCACTGCCTATTTCCTTTGTTATTTTTCGATTTACATAAAGAATCTAGAAGCAACATTTTGACATTTTTTTGACTATTTGTTTCGTGCGTTTCGATAGTCTATTTCAGGAAATAATGTTTGATTATAGTCAAGATTTTGGAGACGCAATGACTTGGCTCTTGAGATAGCGTCTAAAAAAAATTTGTTTCGGTAAATGTTATTAACTTATTTGTAGAAGTAGTTTAATCTTATAGCTGTTTTACATTGACAATTTATTGATGAATAAATTGATGAAGTTCTTCATGAATTAATTCACGAATTTATTAGTAAACCGTGTGGTTTTACACTGCTACAGACTTTGTCAAGTTTTTTGACGTATGAATCAGTTCTAGCAGTGAATCAAAGAAGCAAATAAATTTCAAAAATGTCACCTTGCCACTCATAATTGTAGTGATACAACAACGGTACCGTTCTGACACATATTATATAAATATTAGTTTTTGTAAGTAACAAATCGGTAAAAACAATGCAAAACTAGTACGATGCCACACAATTATTTACATATTCCAATAACATAACCTCATTACTGATCTGAGGCTGCAAATCTGTTGGGTTGGTACTTCTGAACTTCACGAAGAAATTGACGAAAATTAGAACTTGCTCTAATTCGTCAAGAACTTGATGAATAAATACATCAAGTTATTTGACAGTAGATTTGGTGCATTACACTTGTTCATTTTCTTGATGAAGCGACTTTATGAATTAATAGATCAATAAATTGTCAATGTAAAACAGCTATTAGTCTTGTAAATGATCTAAGTTTGTCATATCGCAATGTAATCAATAAAAGACACATTTTTTAACTTTAAACCCGTTTTGTTTTTTACAAAACGGCTGCTTTCAGCGACAAATTGTATGTACTCTTAAGTACCATTTGTACGTAAAATTGAATGGAGAATAGGTATGTTTAGTCAAAAACGACATACTTACAATGCAACTCAAAAGAGTTATGGTTATTTAAATCCAGTCCAACACTGTATGTGGCGCCCTATAACATTAAACAAAAACTAAGTAAATATTTGAGTTTCTCATCATCAATACTCCCAGTTTTCAGAATTTCGTTAAATCGCCATGTTATTGAACAAAAATATAATCAAAATACCAAACAAAAATTTTTTTTGGGCACTCTGTAAGTATCTCAAGAACCAAGGCGTTGCGGACCAATGTTCATATGAACTTTTTATCTTAAAATAGGTCAAAGATTTAACCTTTAAAGTTACAAGTACTAAATAAACACCCTGTTTAGTACATTCATATTTCTTTCAGATTTATATTTTTACCTATATCAATTTCTTTTTCATATAACCATAAATTTCATGATTTACTTTGTATATTAGTCTGAATAAGTAGCTAACGAAAAAGATCTTACATACAACGTGGTGCATTGTACTATAATACTACATTACCATTATCTGCATATGGATTAGTTTATATTAGTTAATATTTAATTTATGAAGTAATTAGTGTTATATTCCTGCTCAAACACGTATGCCATAAACTCAAGAAAACACCTATCACTCTAGTGAATCAGACGCCCCTTTCCTTCAATAATTGTATTGCTAATATGTGGTAATAGTAACCGAATACATCAGCTCCCTAGAGTCGAGCCCCTGTTGACACAGATAATTAAATGATGGCCATTTCACTTAACATTCTAAAGGGTTAAAACTTGTAGTTAATTATACCTGGTAATCGTCATGATGGTTGTTTTTAAAATGCAAGGGTTAAGTGTATTAACAG